TCGCAATAGTACGAATCTTTGTAGGATAGGACTATATAGAGGGTGTCGATCCCATAGGGAAATGAGTGTTCTTTGTTTTGTTTCTAACTAATCCAATTCTTTTTGGTTTACAGGTAACTGATTGAATTTGATTGATTGGTTGTCACGAACATAAAGTAAAATTAAATTGAATTTAAATTAAAGAGATCAGAGAGAGAAGAAGTCTTAGGGCTTTGACTTCACCACAAAGCTTATACTATGGTCAATCGTTCAACTTTGGGGTTTCAACAATTTATCTTTTAAATAAATTAAACTCAATAACTTTCGTTTAATTCGGTTTTAAAGAAAGATGTTTTATAAATTTTAATTAACTATAACCTATCTACGATTAGCATGGACTACCCACCTACATACTTCTAACTACTTTAACTAATTTTGCAGTATAATCCATCTTTCCTAAGCATAGACTATGAAAATATTCATTTATAAAAAACATTGGAACACCATTGCATGATCTCCATTCTTATATTCGATAGGCCTCTACCAGATATCGTCTAATAAGAATGGGTTGAGAATAATTAATGAATACCTAAACCTAAGACAAGGTATTAAATATTCAAGAATTATTTAAAATATTAAAATCCAATTGAGTTGACTCAATTGCTTAGAATCATGCAATCAAAAATATATAATTTATTGAAATTCCCAAAGTTAAAACAATCAAACTATAGTACTCTGATCGGGTTACATCAGTGCCCTAAAAGAGGAATTAGCTACTCATGACGACGCAAAATATCATTTGTGTTGTTGTGGTTTTCATCGTCATGGACGACACTTCTCTTCTCAGGATCTTCACCTTCTAAGGTTATAGAAACCCTAAAAGCCGCCACTACAATATGGGAACTCTAAAATAATACGAGAGAAAAAGGACAATTCTTCTGTGGCCTTGTGCCTTCTTTTATAGAAGAATTAAGGTTCTGGCGGGCTTTTAGGTCTTCTAACCCATCTTGAGTAACTTATAATTCCAATTTGTCATGGATAGCTCGAGCTTTAGAAGCAGAGCTCGAGCTATTTGGCACAGGCTCGAGCTTTACAAGTGAAGCTCGAGCTTTCTTGAATGTGGCTCGAGCTTTAGAGAATGGTGCTTGATCTTCACTTTTGTACTTCGTCAAATTTCTTCAACTATTTTCCGAAGCATCTTTCCATCAACATTAAGAATATTTTTGGGTTTTCTTCCTTTTAACAGTGCTCGATCTTTTCTTCATAGTGCTTGAGCTTTAGGTGCAAAGCTCAAGCTTTTGGCTTAGGGCTAGAGCAGTGAGTGAGAGTGCTTGATCCCTTGAGGTTTTGTACGAGGCCTTGGGAGCTTAGCTTTCTCTTAAATTAACTCTTTAAATTTCGTTGCCTTAGGCTCGAGCACCCTGAGGTAAGGCTCGAGTACCCTAAGGTAAGGCTCGAGCGCCCTTATGTAGGGCTTGAGCTCTAGAGGTTAAAGCTCGAGCTTTAATGCCTTAGTTGATTATCTTGTTTTCTTGCAGAGCTCGAGCCTTATGTAATAACCCGGTCATTTTCCTTCCTTTCCTTTTCTCAGATTTTCACAAATATATTTTTTTTTTTCCCGTTGATCTTTTCTTTTATGAGTTTGGCTTCTCGTCACTTAGTGTCATCTTGAGTGCTCGGGGATGGTTTCCGAGTCTCTTTTCCTTGGATTGACGATTTTCTTTAAGTACCGAGTCATTTTTACATTTTCACTTTTGTGACACTATTCACTTTTTGTCTTTTTCCTGTTTGTCATTTGTTGGCATAACCTCACTTTTCGTGTTCAGATTTGATTCTGATTTTGCATGCATTCATGATATTTAAATTCCATACTATGTGTATTTTTACTTTTGTAGAAAAATATACTAGTTGTGTACTTTCTTCCTTAGGGGTATGGATGCACATTTCTTTGAAATTTTTCTTTCTTTTGGGGTCATTTGTGTAATTACTGTAAAGTAATTATTTTTCGTCTGAGGGACCATTTTGTAATTTAATTTGGAAAATATTTTCAAAAATGACCTTTTTGCAATTTTCGAAAAGTGTGACAAGTGTCACACTCTCATTGGTCCACTTGTTGGCATTTGTGTGGGGACGCTTTGATACCTTGGATGCTGACATGTGGAGGGTGGAGATTCAACCACTTGTTAACCTAGGATAGGTGCATTTGTTGACTTGGATGGTTGACAAGTGTAAGCTCATGATTAAGTCTACAATAGATGCTTAGATGAGTAACAAGTGTATGCTCCAAATTAAGTCTTATAAAAAAATAAAAATAAAAATTGATTATAAAATTTTGAGATTCCATATTGTGACGTCTCTCTTTATCTTACTCTTAACTGCAATTTTTGTATTTGTCTACTTGTGTGCTTGAAATATAATAAGGATTAAATTAAAATTTTAAAAGTAATCAATTGAGTAAAGAGGACCTACTCATCAGAATCACACTTCAAAAATAAAGCAAGTCTAACTCCATCTTCCAAACTGCGCAACTCACTAACAACTAAACAGTCGGTCAAAAGGACAAATTGGTCTTTTCAATAGGACAAGATCATTGTCCAAATTCAGCAAAGACTAAGGGCCTTGATATATATCTTTTCTTTGTTAGATATTTATACATGCATAGATATTTATAAATATCATTGTCCGAATTCAGAGCTTCGTTTGGTGAAAAGAAAAGAAAAGAAGACTTTTATTAGTTACAAGGGAAAAAAAAATGGCTCTTAAAGGAACTTTGCTCCTGGAAACAATTTTAACCAACTTTTCTTTGTTGTGTACGGTATGTGGCTGCATTTTCAAACCATATTGGCTCTGGTAGATTTAATGACAGTTGACAATGAAGATGAGGATAGGAAAGAAGGAGAAAGCATGATGAATTAATTGCCAATCAGTCGTCCCTTTCACTCGTTATTTACTTATTCATCTCCCTTTGCTGTCTACATCAAGCCAACCACGAGATATTGACCATATATAAGAGTTAAAAAAAAATAATAATAATAATAAAATAAAATAAAAAAATTTTAAAAAATGAATGAAATAAAATAAAAGGTTAAATATAGTATAATTGAGCAAATGTGAGCGAGCGTGTACAGTTGGCATTAGGTTCACACCGCTTGGGTGTGGATGAGACAAGTGTTATAAGTAAATTTAACACCCTTCTATGACTCAACACATTTTTTTAGATATAATAGCCATGAATTTATTTGAACTTCGTATTTAACTTAAAATAGTATCAAAATAAGTGACTCTTGAGAAGTCTCTTATCATAATAACTTAAAAACAGACATTATTATGTCTGAATATTCATATTAAAGCGGTAGTTGGTTGTGTTATTCACTACTGTCATGTGTCGTTGGAAATGACTAGTTAGTTTTGGTGGGGTTTCCGAGGACGGAGAAAATAAGATTAATATTGCTTGGGAATGGGACATGCTGTGTCTCAAGTTGGAGGAGGGGCTGGGTTTTCGTCGATTGGAGGAGTTTAATAATGCTTTACTGTGCTCAAACAACGTTTAACATTTAGGTTGTCTAGGGCGAAATATTTTAATAATTGTTCATTTATGGAAGCTAAATTGGGATCTAATTCTTGTTGCGAAAGGATCTGGATGGGTGGTGGGGATTGGGGATGCAATTGATATTTGAAATGATAAATGGATTCCGTAAATCTAAGTGTGTGGCTGCCTCCGACGGTTGGGATGGTCAAGTGTAATAATGTAGATGCGGGTTTTGATCCATCCATGAATGTGGGTGGTGGGGGTGCAGTTTTTCGGCGCCAATCTTCTGAAGTGAGCTTCTCATGCTGTTCCATGCGGGGAGTTTTAAGTGGTCCATATTTGGTCACGTCCTTTTTCATTTAACAAATACTGACACAGCGTTTGGATGTACCAATTACAAAAAAGTAAAAACTATTTTCACTCTCAAAATAAGGTATGTATATAATGCAGACTAAATAATGTCACATATAAACGTAACTCAATTCAACATATTATTTATGTTATTATTTGAAATTAATGTACTTTAAAAACACTTTAACATGTTAATTTAAAGAATTGTTGGATTAACTTTAGATTACAAACAAAACACTTGATACTTCCAAAAATAAAGAAAAAAGCCACATCTTTTTTTTTTCTTTCAAATACTAAAAAAACATACACTTTGGTATAAATTATTTAACATATCTTTGAAATTTTTTTTGCAAAATTTAATATTAATTGCTACACTCACCACCTTCACCATAAAATAAAAAAATCAAAAAAAAATCAAAAAAAAAAGTATTCACATAGTGTTCAAAAATTAATAGTCACACGTAAATCTAACTCAATTCAACGTATTATTTATATATTTTTTAAGTTAAATTTTATCAGAACATCCAAAAAAAATAGTCACATATTAATTTAAAGAGGATTTTGAAGGAGGTTATGAAGTATTTGGTGTCAACAACCTTCACTTTTTAAGTAGTGATGTTACTCTCTTACAAATAGTGATTTACTTTTTAAACTCCTATGATGTTACTTATAAATGATGGGTAAAAATATCGTGTTTCTTTTTGTAATTGCCAAACGAGGTCTCAAAAACTGTTAAATGAAGAAGGACGTGGCCAAATATAGACCATTAGGAACTCACGGTAAGGGACCGCATGGGAATCCACTTCATAGGATTGCGCCCACGGTTTTTCTAGTTTTGGTTGTATTTGGGAAATTTCCAGTTATGTCGTCTTACATCAGCTGAGGCAATGTGTGCGTGGATATTCATACCATTGTCTTTGACATTAGAAGTGTCGTCGTATGTTAGTCATGTCCGAAAACATGGCAACGAGGTCGCCAATGCTGTGACAAAATTCTCAAAAGGCCATATTAATTGTGATGTGGAGCTCGTGCATGTTCCAGATCATATCATTTCTCTTGCTCAGTTGGATGCTCATGCAGGTGGTTAATTTGATTGTGTTAATAGGTTTGCCAGGTTAAAACACACACACACACAATAGACTGCATTGAACAAAAGCTTTATTCAGTGTAATGACAAGACACCCAATATAGACAGCTATAACTAATACAATGCATCTGTTATTCTCCCCCGAAATGGGACACAAAGGGATCTTATGGTCACAACTAATTCTTTCCTATGAATGATGATCAAGAGCTCTGATTTCGTAACTCCCGTTTAAACTTACAACGAAGGCACTCAGCCTGTCATTAGCAGCACAAACACTAATCTAACAACTAGATTATCACACAACAAATTGCAGTACTGTAAACTTCGAAAGGAAATGCTTGTCGGGAGCAGGAAAAATTTGTGCCTGCTGTTATCTGGACACTCATCACTTGGTGTAGAGAACGTCTTCCCATGGGTGACGGTATAGTGGCTGCTTCAATCTCTTTTGGTCGAAGGTATGCCTGAAAATTTCAATAAAAGAACAAATCAATAAGAAACAAGCCCATAATTGCAGGCCTCTTCTCTCCCTTCCCCTTGGGGATTCGTACCATAGACATTAAATCAATGATGAACGTGAAGTTTTCATTTTCAACACCTTAACAGAGGATGAGGAAATTTATGTTCAAAAACTCGGGTGGTAAAGTTGTCAATGTCAAGGGTTCAACTATGCGTTATTAAGCCAGGTAAATCATAGCCAAAACGGTGTAAAGATATGGAAATTCTGAAGAGTAACCCAACTCACCCGATCAGACCAATGGAGCGAGCCAACACAAAGAGCCCATTCAGATAACCGATCTCAACAATCTCATCAATCTCTGGCTTGGTGAACATACCACTGCCAGCAAGGAGATCCAAGAATAAGGACCCGATTGCACCATCGACATTAAGGACCAGATTATTTGATTTGGAGAGAGTGTAAGTTTCAACTTGAACAGCATATTCCATGTACTTCACAGCAGGGAAGTTAGTGCGTCCAAAAAGTTGTAGCAGCTCAACCCTTTTATCTCTGTTGTCACCTCTCTTGATCCTATTCCACAAGAAGCAAAATAGTTTCTAAAGCTCAGATTGGGTGGATGCAATTGAAAACATGAAAAAACATATTGAGTTGTGAACTTCAAATTACAAAATGCAGGTTTTCTCTTTAAGCGCACAACTTGAAAACAACACTGACAAGTTAAAGAAGCCCCATACCTGTGTCCAATTCCTGGCACACGAATGCCTTTCTTTTTCATACTTTCTACAAATTCGTAAGGAGTAAGACCCTGCCAACACACAGCATGGTGACATATTAGAATCTACAAATGATCCGAATGGCCAGACAAGAAGTCTTATTTAACCAGGTAATTCTCATGAGAACTCACCCTGTCGTAAGCATCCTTGAAGTATCGAGCAGCATCATCAATAGCCCCACCAAATCGGGGACCAATTGTCAGCAAACCTGATCCAGAAGATCATTTACTACACTTGTCCCTTACAAATTTATCCCACAACGCGACCCAGTGGGGATTCCCGTTCATTTGGGAAATTTAAGTGAAGAGAAAATCTTATCATTCAATTAAAGAAGCCATCAGATGGCTTACCTGAAACAAGGCTGGACACAAGGTCCTTTCCAGCTCTTGCAGTTACTATGGTGTTGTGGGCACCAGATACGCAGGGACCATGGTCGGCACATAGCATAATGCAAATCTGATCAAGTCAAGAGCTTTAGTTAGAAAACAGCTAGAAAAGATAATTTGCTTTCTGAAGGAACCATTATAATAATTTTAAAAAATGCAAAAGCAAACCAGAAAAAGAAATCTAAACAGAGCAAGAGTTTCTATTTCATAATTTTTTTTTTTTACACTGAACAAAATTATTAATAAATTTATTAATGGAAAACCAGGGATCAGTTATAAGTAACCAACCTCAATAAAATGTGTGCAGTAACGGGGAAGGCTGCGTTTGAACCACAATAGGGAGATAACATCACCCACGCCAAAACCCTGTTCAACAATGGAGGACATGGGGACGCCGCCATAGCATGGCTCTTCACCTGCAAATTCAGACCAAAGACAAATTTAGCACAGTTGAAATCCTGTTTAAAGCAGAATGTCTGGTCTGCACCCAGTTTACTCTTGAAGCAACCAGGCTTGACAAGACTAACTTAATTCCTTGTCAAGCCACCAAACACCTCAATTCTAATTGAAATATATATATATATATATTGACAGGTCCAACTTATACCTCTGTCGTCGGAGATGGTGGAAATAATATGAGTTGGAGCCCGAACTTTCCCACTCTTAATGGCAGTGTTAAGATCTTCTGGTATTTGTGGAGGCTTAACTTCCTTCACAGGAGTAATCTTGCCATCTTCAGCCTGTGGGGAACATGATCAAACATGCTTATATTAACCAGTAGTGGAGTACAAGAAACCCATCCGTCTGTCTTAACGAAAAAGAGAAACTTGCTAATCTTGGATGGTAATTAAAAGGCTCGTAGAGCCTTGCGTCAGATTGGATGAGTTCCATATAGGTAGTGCATGAGGGTTGAGAAATGCAATAACATACCAGTTTCTCAAATGTTTCCTTAATTACAGCTTCAAATGCTTCAAATGATGTGGGAACAACAGCTCCAGCTTCCCTAAGTGCTTGATTCTTTGCTTGCGCAGACTCCATCTCACCACCACTCTTGGCTCCCTGATGTAGAATGCATTAAGCAAAATTATGGATACTGGTTGTATTATGGTAATCACGGATACTACCCACAACACCCACACGCACACATACACACGCACAAAAAGAAGGAAAAGTAAAAGATAAAGAAGAAAAAGAAAAAAATCAATCCAAGAAAATCCAGGTAGTAGCTCACCGCATGACCAAATTGTACTTCTGACTTGAAGAGCCGTGCACAGGTTCCACTGACCCAAGCAACCACTGGCTTATTAATTTTCCCCTGTTTCAGGGCTTCAACTAGGGAATACTCATCTCGCCCACCAAGTTCCCCAAGTACAACAATCATTTTCACCTGGGTTAGATTAGACCAAAAAAACAGGTTAAATAAAGAAGCTACAATGCAAGGGAAAGTTGAATAGGATTAGGAGAAACCGATCACAATGTCAAAATTTCTCATGAATGATTCACAACATTTGGAGAAACAACAAAGCATTTATGTAACTGAAATAAGAATGTTGTAAAGATAAATGGTAGAAGTGACTGATTGGTTTACTAATCAGAGTGTGGAGGGGAAATTATGAGTGATGCCTATTAATGATAATAAGAGAAAGTTACTTAACCAAAAAAAAAAATTGATAATAAGAGAGTAGATTTTGGTGGTATGGCACATACAACGAATACCTATAGATGTATCAGTAAGAAGACGAAGATTAGTTTGAATATAAAGTTAGGCTGAACATAGGATGAAATTATTAGAAATGATTTTAAAAAGTTATCTACAATAGGAGAAAAGACTTGCGATAGAAAAGAATGAAAAAATAGAATCCATATATGGCTTTCATATGATATTAAGACAAAGATGATGATGACTCACCGCATTTGAAGTCAAGGTTTGAAAACTTTGATGAATATACAAAAGCATTTAAATGAAATGCAATGTTACATCCAACAGTGAACTCACTAAACTGAGCTCCAAATTAGGAAATTAGGTCTCAATTTCAGGTAACGTTCAAGTTTGAGGTAAACAATAGGGAATTAAGAAATTGGTATGGAAATCAAGATGCCTATACATATCTCCAGTTAATTGCACTCTAGTACTCCACGTGGCAATTATAAGACATAGAAAATTCACAAGAAAATATGGAATGGCACTAATTGAATGTTTCAACTCTCAAATGTTAAGGTGGCACCTTATGATGGCTTCACCATCATCATCCTTGCCTTAATCCTATATGAATGGTGTCAGCCACATGAATTCTCTTTTTTCAATTTTTTTACTACATGCCATCTCACCTATTATGATAAAAACGAACCTTCTATGTAATAGACACCTTTGGGAAGAAGCAGAATGAGACCATTTTAAGGATGCATGGTTGAGGGGAGAATGCAGGAATAACTATTCAACAAATTGATGCATATTATGTAGATAGCTTTCCTAGTGAAAAGAAGAACTATACAAGAAAAATGTAACTCTGTCACAGGAACCCGAAAGGAAGTAAGTATAAACAGTAATATACCTGTGGAATGTTGTTAAACCGCAAAACATGATCAGAAAGGGTGGAGCCTGGGAACACATCTCCTCCAATCGCAATACCTAAAGGTCACAAAATAACACCAAAATTTCATTTAGACCTACTTGTTTGTGACATTGATGCAAGTGCACAAAAATAGCTATTAAAAAAGAGAGAAAAAATTAAAAAATGGCACCAGCATGTATGGATGGATACCTTCATAGATTCCATCTGTTACACGAGCAATTGTATTATATAGTTCATTAGACATGCCACCCTGTAATTGAAAAGAAAAATTGTTATGTCTTGCAACCATAAACAAGTATCTTAGATTGCTAGTCTGCCACGACACTCCTACCAAGGGCAAATCTAAAATATCTAATAAAAAATCTTGTAGAAAAATCTTTGAAATGTAGGGTATGACTAGTCTGTGGAGCATATTACATATTAACAAATATATATACACATATATATGTGTATGTATGCATGTGTGTGTCTGTAATCTGTATATATATAAGAGGGATGCTCTGGAATAATAACGTACAGATTTGGAGACAAATCCAACAGATCCAGGCCTGTAAAGCTTGCATTGAATTATATTGTCTATTGTTCCAGCAGTATCACCAATCTTAAAAGCTCCAGCTTGAATACCTCCAACAGTAGCTGGGCCAATAACAACCTGCAAACAACATCGAAATCTATATTAGATAAAATGTTAAACCAGACAAAATACAAAATCCTGAAGGAAGAACAATTGCACAAACAAAAGCTCAAGTGATGGCTGTATGCTATATATATAAATTGACTGCATGGTCATTCTCATCAACTAATTAATCCATTAAATAAATCATCACCCAATGTTGGTCCCACTAATGTGGTATGCTTGGAGGAGCTGACTGGAGACTAACCTAACATTTAACATTATTTGCAGAAAATGACTACTCATAGACTCAAACTTAATTCTCACAATTGTCAGCCCAAGCAATGGCCCCCTACCTAAGTTATCCATCATGACTCAAAAATGAATTGCATCTATAAATTAAAGTAAAATAATCTCAAAGCACTTCACATCATTTCTTTTACCTTATTATTTGCCCTTGCAAAACCAATCAACTCCTTGGTGTCCGATTCGGGAACACCTTCAGCTATTATAGCCACGACTCTAATGGTCGGCTGTTTGAGAGCAGTCTTGGATGAAGCAGCAGCACTGCAAAAATATTAATAATGTATTGAATATGGAGTATGATAAAGTACTTCAGGACTCCAGAATATATATAATAAACCTAACAAGGACGGACCTTCTGTATGATGCAAAGTTTATGAAAACATCAGCAGTTGGATGTGCAGCACAAGCAGCTTCAATGCTGCAAAACAAAAAGGCATCCGAAGGAAGGTAAGAAATTAAGCTCAGAAAAGCACAATTCCAAAGCAACTTAGTGAACATGAGATTATATTAGCAGCTTAGCACTAGAACATAAAAGTACAGAATTTTTATGTTTTGAATCCACATAATGGTACTACTTAGCAGTTTCATATGTAATCAATGGTACTTAACTAGGTACATCATTAATTTTGCAATTCTTTTTTATTGAACAAAATGTCCAGTTTGCACCATGTAAGCATTTGTGAACATAGCCCAGTTCGCAGCTTTCTAGAATAATTAACTAAAACCAAGTAAACCTCATTAATGAGAGGATTTTTTTTTTTCCTAGTTTTAATGAGACGATCTTTAACTAAACTGATTTTTCCCACATGCAAACATCTAGTAAACTATTTACAAAATTTAATAATTTCAGCAATACCAATTTATCATTAGACATACTGAATTTGTTTTTTAAAAGAAAATGTTTAAAAAAATTATTAACTTGATTATGATCATTCTGAATTACAGACAAAACCTCAATGAAGAAAAAGTAAATCTCTTGTCTAGAAGCATTTTTTATTTTTAGTACCCTTTTCAAAGTAAAATTTCTGGATGGAAAGGTGTAATTTATGAGACAGATAGAAGAAAGAGAGAGAGAGAGAGAGAGAGAGAGAGAGTAAACGCACGTTGAATGAACTGGGATGGCAATTTCCTCCTGACCAAAAAAGAGCTTCTGAAATCCTTCAGCACCAGGATTTATGATTCCAGCAACTGAAGGAGTTTCTCTTCCTGGAAATAGAGTACACAAGTCTATGTTAGCAATTAAAAACAATTTGGGATGCCAATTTCCTCCTGACAAAAATGCATATTAAGCACTAATATTAGGGTGCAAATACTATTCTCATGAACAACAGTAAGAAAAGTTATACATACCACAAAGAAAATCAAAATCAAGCATCCGTTGGATAGGTAGCTGTTTGTAATTATAGAATAGTGCTTGTGTAGTCTTGGAGAAAAGTTGTCCAGTAGCCATGGTGTAAGCCTAAAGAGACCTGTCGGTACAATATTAGCACATTACTTTCGCATATCGCAAGAAAACAGAGTGAAATTAAAGTTACTACCGAAGGACCATGTATAGCACACATAAGCTTAGTGAGTGCAGCATACTTCAATGGAATTATAAAAGAAGTTTGTGCAATTGTGCATAATGTCCCATAATAAATATTCAAAGTGCTAGTAAACTTTTTAAAATCCCACATTTCCCAGCACAAGATTTGTTGGTTTGATTGCATCTAATTGGTAGGTGATGTATCATTGAAGGGGGGAAAAAATATATCAAAACAAGCACATGAACTTATTATAAGATCCCAGCATAAGACCACTGCACATCAATGAGAAGCTGGGAAAAAAATTGTTATGCTTTTCGGGTTTATATGCAAATCTTTGAAGGTTGAGTAACTTAATAAGAAGAAAAATGGGGCATTGACCACCAAATTCATTTATAACCAGACCCTCTTTTCTTCAAATAATGCATCGCAATTACTCGAGCTTCGATGTCACAATTCATAAATTTAGAACCAATACCAATAAAAGAGTATGTATCAACTAAAATTTAACTTAAATCTTTCAAAATTCGACGAAATAGATCTACAGCATTAATGATCTTAATCAATTCAATTAAATACAGAAGAAGAATTAAGAATGACTGTTCAAATATTGTATAAGCAAAATAAGCTGAAATCAAAACAATAACCCACCAGATCTCACTGTGTATAAACAGATTCACAGAAAACAATATCAATTTCAGGCCAAATCCATATAATGTGCTGAACAGAAATTCAATCTCAATCCCCAAATGCAAACATCATCTTCTAATCATTACGAATAGATCTGATCCTAATCCAATTCAAATTTAAAACCTTCAAGTCCCTCAGAAAACAACAAATCAAAGCATATCGCCTCGAAAACATCATAAAATGGATAACCGAACAGAGATCCAACATTTCAAGAATTCACGATGCAGACATTAATCCGAATAATTAACCACAATAAACGACGAAGAGAAGAGACATAAGAGTCAACAATTACGAGATTCGTTCATATAAATAAGTATATATATATATATATACACATTTACATACATACATATATGTGTGTATACGTTTGAATACAGAGATTTAAAAGGATGATTGTGTTTGGTTGAATGAAAAAACTTACAATCTGAAGTGGAAAAATGAGAGGTGAGCCTGAGTACAGCTAATTCTCTGTACCCAGTTCGTTCCTCCACAGACCCTTGATCGGAATTGGAACTCTGTGAATATATATATGTATGTATTAAAGTGTGTATGGACTATGGAGTGAGACACAAATGCAATAATATAGGAAGGGTAGAGGGTGGGGGCTTATATAGAGAGAGAAATGAGAGAACAACTACCGAGAGAGAGAGAGAGAGAGAAAGAGAGGTGATCACGTGGCGTAGGGTGGTTAGTTCACGACTGGTTTTAGACTTTTAGTATATAGAGTAGAAGAAGCAATTTTACCAGTTTAGAGAGAGAAAGAGAGGAGAGAGAGATATAGATAGAGAGAAATGGAGTGCCAGCCAGGGTAGGTGGTGGTGGATCTGGCAAGGTTGGCTTGACCAAAATCAAAATGTTATTCACACACACAATCACACCAGTCAAAAGTCTTCATAATACAAAACTCCTTAAATTGAAATATAATTATATAATCCAACAAATTTATTTATTGAAAAAATGTGTACGCATTGTGAATGAATGCATTATTTAATTAGTTAAATTTGACCAAAAGATAACATTTCCTCTGTCTCAAAATAAAAATTTCAACCTGAGTCACACTTTTCTAAAGAAGATATTTATTTTGAAATAAAGAGTGTAATACAATATATTTAGATTTTAACTCTTGTAAATACGGTGCGCTGTTTAGGCACCCTTCGTTTGTGCTCAATAAGTTTTCTCAAATAACGGCTACACAATTGAAAAGTATTCATATATATAAGTTTTTATGTGAGACATCACACAAGGCAGAAAGTTCAATTTTTTTCAAATTTGTAATGTATGTTATGAAAAATATTTAAAATAATTATTATGTTCCTTAATTTTATGAAAATGATTTTAAGCCTTTTCGAAACTTTTTATCCATGCTTTATAAAAATTTAGTGAAAAATGAAAGTAACTTGAAATATAATATATCCAAACAAGAAACATGTATACATATATATTATATATATAAATATATCACTTTTATATACAGTAGTATACTTTTTCCTATCGAGTTTATTTAAATGTGTGTATATATATATATATGGTATACATTTATGTATAGCAATTCATCTGTACTTCAATATAAAATCCCCCCCTCTATATACATGCTTTTATTGTGCATTTTATTTATAAAAAAAATGATCAATTATTTTCAAAGTCGGCTAGAAAAACAAATTAAAAGTAGGTGTAAAAGTTCAAAGTAAAATTGTCTTCCATAGTGACAAAAATGTCTTTTTCTTATGGCCATCTTATAGGAAATTTGTGGGAATATTTTTGTTTGAAACTCAATTTGGTCAGAGGACAAAGGCCTTCATTCATATGCTTGATAGACGATCTGCATACTTGTATACATGTCATTGTTGAATCATTCTGCAGACGGTATCAGCCACCAATATGTACACTACACCCCTCTCTTTTTTTCATATATATTTCTTTCATAACGAAAAATTAACCCATTCTCAAAGACACTCAAATAATTTACAAACGTGAAAATAAATAAATATATAAATAAATTTACAAACTCATACCGTTCATAATCGTTCACAAAAAAACATTCATCAATCAAATACTTGTTTTTGTCTCTGAGATTGGAATAAAAAAAGCTAATGAAATTATCTTCAAAGACGTGACCAGTTGAACTTCTCTTGCATACTAATATATATATATATATATATTTTTCGCTCGGACATAAAGAACATTCCCTCGGCCAACTAGGTGCTCTATTAACTAAGTCATTGAATAATGTTATTGTTAAATTTCATTTTAATTGTAAAATATTAGTACATAGTTCTTAAATTCAAAAAAAGTGGCTTATCAATGCATTGGTCAAAATATCAATACCAAATAGATTAGAAAAGAAAATTGTTAGGCATTGGTCCATTTGATCTCTTCAAGGCTCTCTTGGCTGTAGTTATAAATAGTACTGTTTTATTTAATATATATTATATAGTGGTGTGCTCTAAGTTATATAATTTTTCTCAATATGACTTGCTCTTACATTCTATGCGCGCTCTCACTTTTATACTACGCACGCTTTTTTATTCAAATTCTCATTATTTTTTACATAATTTTGTAGCTCTCACGCTCTTGCTCCCGCTATGTGACTTAGGATCTACTCAAGTACTTTTGTAGATGCAGTCAAATAGGTCCTTGGATTCTCAAGAAAAAAAAAACAGAAAAAAAAAAAGTGGAAAAAAGAGGGGGCTTTCAAAATGCTAAAATCCAACGCTAATTATTTATGGGTATCAATTTTCAACTTGCATTTTTCTACCAAAGACAAGACTAACATTGGATGTTAATTATTTGTACAAAGCGCGTATTCTTATAATTGAGTCCAAATTCTTGACAATCTAACTTTCTATCATTAGGCTAACGAACAGTTTGCTTTGTCACTCAAATAACATTTTTTAAGAAATTAAAAAATTAAAATTTATTTTTAGATAAATACTCTCTCCGTTTTAATTTAAGTATTGTTTATGGGGAGTAGTAATTTTTAAAGGGACATGCATGTCTATTTAAAAAATTATTAACTTACCCTTTTAAATTTTAAATATTCAAGTTTGAAATTTTAAACTCAAATGAGAAAAATATGAAATATATTATTTGAAAAAAGAAAATGGACATTTATTTTGGGACAGACAAAAAAGAAAACAATGACACTTATTTTAGGACGGAAGGAGTATAATAAATAGAATTCTCTACAAGTTTTTTTTTTTTTTTTTTAACTGAGTTTGTAGTTCTTAAAAATTATCAATTAAGAAAGTCTTTGTACAATTTTTTAATTTTTAATTCTCAAAATACAGAAAATTGTTATAAAAAAACACTCAAGGAAAGATGGCCTAAATTGTTGGACTTTTTACTATCAAGAGTTTTTAATCAACAAATGAAAATTTTGGTGAGATAGTTAGCTAAAATTCTAATATCCATTTGGTTGACTTCTAAATGAGATCCTTAGAATTAATTTGTTTTCACATGACACTCACCATTGGTCCTTTTTCACTTCAATGTCAAAGACTAGCATAGTCAAATCCATACTGCCAGTGAAGTGTGGAAAAAGAAATTCAAATGCCTTGTATAATATATATATGTAATATATCAAAAATAAATTTATTAAAATAATAATTTTTATTTCAAAACCATCTTGTGATCACCAAGTGAAAAAAAAAAAAAAAAAAAAAAACTGTCTCAATTTATTTAATTTAACAAGAAGTGTTTTAAAAGTACCCTCTAAATGTTTTAAAAGTTCAAAAAAATAATATAAAATAAAAAAATAAAAAAAAAGACAACCTATATAAGTAAGAATGTACAAAATTAATGTTTGATAACTCGTAACAGAAACATGGGTCTAGGTTTATATTTAAAAAAAAAAAAAAAAAAAAAAAAAAAGGAAGTATGCTCTTGTTGACTTAATCAATCTAAGTATGCTCTCCCATTTAGGAAAAAAAAAAAAATCTAAGTATGCTCTCTCTCACACGGTCACACACACACACACACAGAGACACACAAAAATATGCTCTAGCTATAGCATTTTTTATTTATGCTCTCTCTCTCTCTCTCTCTCACACACACACACACTCACACACAAGTGGAGTCAGTTAACAAATACTACATTATTTTCTTTGTCCAAGGTGTTCTTAGTGAGTAAAAGACTTTCATTTTTGTATTTTTAAATTGTTCTACCTTTTTTTCTACGCCAAGCAATTGTTTTTCACGTTATATTCAATCATTTTAATTCACACTTGCAGTCTAGCTCTATATAAAATATAATTTTGTTTAGCACTCCATGGTTGACCAAAGTCAAGAGTCTGCCCTTTGGACTAGTGTTATATATGTATAACATTTATACGTATATATTATTTTATATTATTCCAAGATACTTCAGATCTGAATTAGGTAACACCCATCATGATGTCCTAAATTGAGATTTGTATCATTCAACAATCGTAAATAGAGCTTTTTTTTTTTTTTGTACCACATCTATTATTCAAGCAAATATTAGTATAAATTAGTCAAATTCACCGATTTTTAAAGATGCCTAATGATATTGAACTTTTAAAAAAAAAAAAAATTACAAAATAATATGAATTAATTTATGTTGACTTAAATTATTCCTTCATTTAATAAGCCAACAGTGGTTGACATAAGCTATGTTTTATTACAGGAGCCAAACTTGACGCCTCAACTTAACTTGTCCTCTTTTTCTTTCTTTTTTTTCTTCTTCTTTATTTTATTATTATTTTATAATTTTACAAATTTTAATATTTTTCAATTGATAGAATAAAGTAATAAAATTATATGAAAAATAATATTATTAGCTAAAATACTCTAATTTGTTACATTTGAGTCAACTTACAAAAACAACATAACCGCAAAATAATTTAATATTGTCTTTCTCTTTCTTTTTTCTTTTCATCTTTTTTAATTTTTTTTATTATTATTATTATTATTTAAAAAAAATTATATTTATTAATTGCTAAAATAGAGCAATAAAATATATAAAAAATATTATTATAAACTAAAATATTTTGATACGTGGCATTTGAGTTAACTTACAAAAACAACGCAATCGTAAAAGTTATATATTTCACGAATTGAAATCTTCTGTGTAACAGCAAGATAACCAAGATCATTCACAAGTACGAAACTATGTACATATTAATAATTCTTGCTATCGGCTGCAATGTGTTGCTAAGTCATATATATATATATATATATATAATACACAAATTATATATATCACATGTAAATGAGTAAGTCAAGTCAGCTAACAAACCCTCCAAGAAAGATGGAACTTAATCTTCTAAACTTGTCACAAAGTCAGCTTCAAATTAGAGCACTGCTTGAAAATGATTATGGCAAGTCATTTGGACTCGATTTGGCTTATTTGTAGCCTTATTGTTCCAAAAATCAAGCTCATTTCTCATTCTTATGAATTTTAAGGCCTTGTTTGGTTTGTAAATATCTCAGTTAATGTCAAAGTCATTAATTTAATACAATGGGATAATCTATAATATTAAAGTTTTGTTATTTGGGCCAATTCGGCTCAAGCCGAATAAATGAGGGGTGAAACTTTTGTAAATAATGATGATTAATTTTTTTTTGAACCAAAACAATAAATGCAAAATTAAATTATAGATTGATAATATTAAAAGAAAAGTTAATAAGTGTTTATTTTAGAATATTGTGGGTCTCTTCTGAAAATTTTGTAAGTTTGTAGTAGGCCCATTTTTATAATCAGTATGTAGTGAGAGGCCCGTAAACTTCGGCTCTTTGTTGGTCCACGCCCAATCAGCTTAGCACTGTTTTTTTTTAACAATTGTTGAA